AATTTCCGGGAGAAGTTGGCATAACAGCATGGCACTCTTACTGTCTGTGCAGCAGCTCATCCCAGAAAGCAGCCCCTCCAAATGTAGCTCAGTAGGGGCTTATGATCCTGCAGAAGAGGCCGTATAACTCAGCTGAGGGTCCCAAAGCACGGGCTGGAGACTACTGCTGCATGTTATTGAGATATATATATATGACAGTGCAGTGTTGTTGTGAGTATTTTAATTGTTCAGAGGTCTCAGGTGACTTTATTAAAGAGCTCTATTAAATGCAAATGGATTCAGTGTTTACATTCTTCAGGCATTTTAAACAAAGTTGCCCAGTACACTTCGTACTAATTGTGCCTCATTCCGCCCACTTTCTCAAGGGTACGTGACATTTTCCATCATTGAGTTGTCAACTGTAGGCAGCCTTCTTTATTTCTTCATGAAATACTGTTAAACCAAGAAAGCATTTTGATGCACTTATTATAGACTTGGGAAATAGGTTATTAGAAGGGTGTTAGTTCATCAGGCTTTTTGCTGTTCTTACTTTGTATGTCTGTTTTCATATTTAATGCTCTGTTTTATTTATGCCTGCCAATCTTTGTAGTTGCTCTAACTCTTTGTTTTTTAACCTTAAATATTCTTTCCCAGAATTCATAACAGCTGAGAGACTTTTCTTTCTTGTATTTTTATTTGCCTTTTTTTACTTCAAGCTGCTTTTAGATGCCAGTCAGAATCCTTATATACATTTAAAAAATAAGATTTCTTTTTGTTAAGAAGGCATTCTATCAAGGATATGTATTGGTGATTGATCTCGCTATTTACAATTATAGCCTACTGACTACTGTGAGGTAAAACCTATTAAATAATGGTTTTAATAATTTTATTGTGTATTTTATATTGATTCTAATATTGTTGTCTTATCTATTGTTCCCTTTGTAAGCCGCCCTGAGCCTGTCTCGGCGGGGAGGGCCGGCTGAAAATCAAATCAATCAATAATAAATCAATTGGTGACTCTTTAGTTTTCAGGTTTTTTGTTTTGCCTCCAGTAAATGGCAGTTAAGAGGTTCTCATACAGTGCAGTTTCATTATTGCAGGATAGTCCTGTCAAGTGAAGGGATCATAAGACTGATATCGATGAATCTCAAATTCTGTGGAGTCAGTGGGAAAATATTTCAGGGTTAGAAAGA